AAATTATCAAAAGAAATTTGGAAGATTCAAGCTTATGTAGATCCAGAGAAACTAAAGGAGAAAAAATATAGGCAGTTTAATGTCTTCTCTATTAAAGCAATGCAAGATGAGGAAAATGCTGAATCGTTATCTTAGAATCAAAATTATCTCAAATAAATTTTATAAAACTATGAGCGATGTTTATATATAGGACGATGCTATAGATTCTATTAATGCTCTTTTTTAAATAAATTATAATGTGTAATTATTTATCAATTACATAAACACTGTATCATTAGTTATTTAATTAACAAAAAAAAATTACATTTTTATTAATAAAAATTTAATTCTTCATCAAAAAAATTATATATAAACTAAGCAAACGTGCATTGTACGTTGCTTAAATCTAGTATGATTAAAAAGTAAGAAAAAATTTTAAATTTACGTATAAAATATTTTATTTTGTAAATAATAAATATATGATTAAAAATAAAGTAGAAAAAAGAGTTTGGAAAGTAACGAAAGTTAAAATTATGACGAGAACAACTTAACTTTGTCCAAATCACTTGAAGGCCGTCTTCGCAAGCTCGCACTACACTATATGCACTGAAAACATCTGTCTGCAAATGGCATCTACCACACTGACATTAACTCCAGCTCTCAAAATCAACGGCGTCGTTCCACGATTCGGCTCCAAGTTTCACTTCTATGGCGGCATCCCAACTGATTATACGAATCCAATCCTTTCATGTTCGTCTTCAATCAAACATCGTAATAACCGATTGAAACCAGTTTGCTCTGCCGGTTTGAACCGTTCATCCGGGTTGAGTTCACACACTTTTGACGTAGTCATTATCGGAGCGGGTATAATCGGGTTGACCATCGCCCGCCAATTCCTCCTCGGATCGAATCTTTCCGTTGCCATCGTCGATGCCGCCGCACCTTGCGCTGGCGCCACCGGTGCAGGTACTTTATAGTATTGTAATCAATCGATCTTTCAAGTTTCAAGGTACGGTGTGCGGTTGGCTTAAAAGGTCAAGTTTAAGTGAATGCTTCTTCTTTTTATTTGAAAATTAATTTTTAAAAACCATTTCAATTCCATGAGTGTTTTAAACATCAAAAAGTTTTTCTAATTGTGAATGTGTTTGATGGAGAATGAATTTTAAATAGTGACGTGATGGAAATACCTAATTAAGGAAAAGTTATTGTTGAGAGAAAAAATATTATTTTATTGAATAATATCCTAATGAAAATGAGTTTTGAAAGAATGTATAAATTAGTCGAGTCAAAAAGTAATGTTTAAATCTTAGAAACTCCTTTTACTTTTAAAAAATCTTGTCAAATGAGTCCTAAGTTTTAAAATAAATAATTTTTTATCAATCATTCTATATTCTTATTATGATGCCATTAGGTTTCGTTTGGTCCCATTAAAATTATAATTCATTTTTTCATTTTTTCTTAACAATCACACATTATTTAATATAATAATATTACACGTAAATCTAAATTTTTTTTTATTTCTTAATTACACATTTTTCAAAAAAAAATACTATTCCAAAATTTATAATCTCAAATAATGGGGTTAAATGGATGAAGTGTCACATTCTTTTGTGTGGCAACGATCTACGCCATTGATTTTAAACACATTCATCCTAATCATATTTCTTTCATATGGAAGGTGTCAAACTTGTTGTACATCTAACTTTATTCATTTTTTATTAGTTAAAGTTGAAAAAAGCTTTTAAGATTTTCTACAAAGTAAATTCGTGATTAAAAAAATTTAAGTATGATTTTTAACCACAACAAAGGGTGCACTTACTTTGACAACAAGCTAAATTTACTTTTCTTCTAGACTTCTACTATCTGAAAAAGTAAGTTCCGTCGAGAAAGAATGTAATTATGATAATTATAGGTTTGGTAAATATGCACTTATTTTGATTGTAAGATTTACTTTCGAGCACAACTAAACAGGTACTTTTTTTTTGGAAGGTAAGAGTTACTTCCAAATTAAATAACTATTTTACTTCACGAGAAATAAGTCATGTGAACATGTTTGAAAATGCCAATGTGCTCATAACTTTAGTATTTTTTGAAGCACAGTACATGCTCTTAATCAATGGATATGTATTACTGGAATTTTGATTTGCTGTAGGATTTCTTGACCTTTTGTTTGGCATTTGAGCCGATTCACACTTCTAGGACAGGGTTACATATGGAAGGTTCACAGAGACCCGGGGACTGAAAAATGGGAGCTGGTAATGAGAAGCCATCAACTATGGGAGGCGCTGGCAGAGAGCATCCATAATCAAGGCTTGGATCCTGTGCAAACACTAGGATGGAAAAAGACAGGTAATATCAAATTGCGTCTTGTCAATGACTTGTAGGAATATTGTTTGGTGGAAGTATTTGATACTGAGGAGTTTTGAAGAATGTGAATGAGCAACTCGTCCACCTCACGCAGTTTGTGTATTCGTGTCTACTTGTTTAGTGCAGACATGTCTGCATTTATAATTTATCCTTGTACTGTTATTTGTACCACAGTAAATTTTTTATTGGTTCTATCTTCAAGAGAACTGTATGATCTTTATCTGTGGATTCATATAATTTGCTTATTTCTTGGTGGGTTCCATGCCAAAATGATGTGTTTAGTTCTATCCTAGTTTTTAGAATTTTTAGTCACATGTATGGTTTGTTAATCGATATTTGTTGGAGACAATACAAGTACTTGTATTTTTACATACAAGGCTGATGTAATTAACCAATGTGTTGATCATGATTACATGGAAATGACTTACCCGTGACAAAAAAATAAAAAATAAAAAATAATATGTTCTATCAAAATCATTCTCCATATATGTCATAAAACATGTTGGATGAGATCCTCTGCGCTAGGTGGATCTTTCATTGCTTCCTATTCCAGTATTCCATTTCATAAATTATTACTTGCTGGAGATTCCAGTTAGTTGGTATCTCATATTGTTCAACCAATAGTTTAATTAACCTCATTTGTATAAAGCTACACGTTCCCTGAAAAAAATGTGTGAACTTAATTTTCCGAGCTGGATCTAGTTGATATTTTAAAGACTATTGAGTTCCCTCCAGGATGCTAACAGCGTTTTAAAAGTGGGCAATGTTTTCATTGACAGGAAGCATGTTAGTTGGTAGAACTGCAAATGAATGTTCCGCGTTGAAAAGTAGGGTGGAGCAACTATTAGAGGCTGGCTTGGAGGCAAGTTTCTTGTCTCATGATGATTTGCAGTCAGAAGAACCTGCTCTTATGCTTGGAAGTGAAGGTGGTGCGGCATTTGTACCTGATGATTACCAAATAGATGCTCGACGCACTGTTGCCTTTATCGAGAAGGTTACTCTAGCAATTCATTTTCCTACTTCAAGCAATGGCTGTTTTGTTTCTTCTTGTGCTTTTAAGATTTTGTCATTCATTTACATAATTATTTTTATATTGTTTGATAGGGTAATAGGTATTTTGCAGCAGAAGGAAGATATGCTGAGTTCTATTATGAGCAAGCAACCAGTTTATTAAGGTAGCAAATTATTTTTTTTGTGAAATTATTTTAAGCTAAATCCAAATAATGAGGATTAGGATACTTTCCACGTTATTACTTTGTTTTTCAGTATTGACACTTGTTAATACTCTTTACTCATCCGTGCTCAGATCAGAGTGCAGTGGGGAGGTTGTGGCAGTTCAGACTTCCAAGAACACCTTGTACAGTAAGAAAGCAATTATTGTTGCCGCAGGTTGTTGGAGTGGTTCCATGTTGCATGACCTGATCAGCAATTCAGAAATTGAATTAGATTTCCCGGTAAAGCCTCGAAAGGTTAGAATTCTGTCTGTGAATTGTAATGCTTCTCAATTTGAATTTTTCCAGTTTCATGGTCGTTATTTCTGTCAGTTCTATGAGGTTCAAAAAGGATATGGAAGTTAGGAAAATGATGGGGTACAATGATTTTGCAGAAATTTTTTCTTTTATTTTTTTTGGGAAAAATGTATTGTTTTATATTCTAAGCTATAGAAAAAATAGTAATTATCCCAAATTCCAATTCTGAAATAGACCTAAAAGGAAAGTGCTATTTCCTATAATATTTATCTTTTCCTTCACTTTTGTTTAGAGAAAGCAGGTTCCTTAGATTACTATTCAATAATCATTTTCCAGTTCCATATTCTATTTTCCAGTCGTATTTAATCTGAAATGCATTAGCCAATCCCTTTGAAACCAAGATGTTGGTTAATATCCCTTCTCCCATGGTATTTATATTTTCTTTTCCTAATACCTTTTTGGTCATGTGGTCCCTTTCCTCAAAATAAAGGAGAAGCTGAATATTTAACTGCCAAGCCCAACATAAACAAGCCACCGGAGAGCTACAAATACTAAAATCTCTATAACTAATGTAAAATCTCTATAACTCTTGAACTTTGCAACGTAACTTCCATCCACTAGCTTTTTAGCCATTTCTAAAGGCAGAAGCGAAATGCTTTTTGTGTATTGTGTGGCAGGGACATCTGCTTGTTATTGAGAATTTCAAGTCTTTAAATCTTAACCACGGCCTTATGGAGTTGGGATATGTCAATCATAAATCTGCAACCCTGAGCTCTAGTACTTCTGATTCAGGGTCAGCATATGATGCACACACTTCATCTGTTTCAATGACAGCCACCATGGACATGTCAGGAAGGCTGGTTCTTGGTAACTCTTTACCTCTTGTGTCCTGGTTTTCTTGCTTTGTTTATCTCTTTCTTGCAAATGCGTGAGATGCAAAATATAGATTTGTGTTTATGTAATATGGTGAAGGAATTTGCAGCGTGATGCACTTGGAACTTTATGAACTACTGTTATTGCTAAGACATTTAACATGAATTGTTATGCTTGCCATAGTGACTTGGATCAGATTTCTTGCTAGCAATTGCAAAATAGGCCTATGTTTACCTTGCATGTTGTTGTAATTAAAATGTTGCTGGGCCTGGAAGTAAAGCCTAGACTTTTATGTATTAGTGGGTATTAGTCTTTGTTCCAGATCCTTTCGTTGATATTTTGTAAAATGTAATCAGAAGATGCCATTTTGTAAAAAGAGGAACAAAATAGAGCAATTGGCAACATATATGACGAGGGAACAAGTTTAGCTGACAAATAATAGAAGAGACTGAAAGAACAACAAGAATATTAGTGATATCGAAGTAAATATTAGATTTAGTCCTCAAGACTTAAATCTGAGCTAAACAGAACTTTCTGGATTCAGTTGTTCTTTTTGTTTGAAACAATATGGCCTATACGTAGGCTTTTCGAACTTACGACTCTCAAACTTATTCTAACTAGGAAAACTTAAATAAGATAAGTGTAAAACAAATCATCACTAGGAAAGCTTTTATCTATAGAAAAGAAGTCCAAAACCTACCGTAACTAGGAAACCTTTAATCAGTAGAAACAGATGCATCTTAATTTTAGATGGAAACCTGAAAGTACTTAAGTGTCTAAATTCTAGGTCATTTCTAGTAGATCATGATTGAAGAAACTGAAAAGAATGTGGGTGGTAAAAAGATAGGTGGAGAACTTCTTTTATTAGTACTTATTTTTATTGGTAATTGGTTTGTGGCTTGACCAGATGAAGTTCCCAAAATGGTGTCTGGTTGGACCGGCTACTCTGTCAATTTATATGGGAGTCCTATAATTTTCCTTCAAAACATGGAAGTGATAAACAGTCAGCTAATGGGCTATCAGCTTCAATTGAAATTTAAGGACCCATCTTGTTACATTCACTGTGTCATGAGTCACGAGGACCAACCTCTTGCCACATCGTTCCTCAAACTCAAACTCAACCTTTTCAACTTATCTTATATCTTTATTTGAAATTATGGTGTTAATAGTATTTCAGCTACAAGAATGTAGATCAACTCTACATAGAATTGTAGGAAGTTAGAAGTTTTTATTATACCATCTTACTATATAAATCTGTTATTGCGGATGAAGTGAACTTAATAATTGTTGCACTATCTTGCATCAAATTCAATCTCCTTACTTCCCCCGGAGGATACATGCCTGCAGTTTCTTTCATGTTCTATCTGGTCTTACAGGTAGCAGCCGCCAGCTTGTTGGATTCAACACAGAGATAGATGAATCTGTCATCACTCAGATATGGGAAAGGGCTGGGGAGTTCTTTCCTATATTAAAACAAGTATCTCTTAAAGAGTTGAACAAAAGCAGAGAAGTGAGAGTTGGGCTGAGACCATACAGTATGTGTGCTAAGAAAAAATTCGATATGATTATGTTTACTGTATATATTCAAATTGTTGTCACAGACTGATCTTTTATGCGGGTTTATTTTGGTTTAGTGCCTGATGGAAAACCAGTGATTGACCACGTGCCTAGAATATCAAACATGTTCGTTGCTGCTGGACATGAAGGAGAAGGACTCACATTGGTAATTTTCTCTTTTTTTCCATCTCAATAACGTGCTTGTTTTATGGAAATATTCCGTGCTTATTTGGTATGTAATTTAGACAATATTGGACGGCATAATGGGATGTTTGGTAAATAAGCTTTTAAGCAATGCGCCCCACAACATTTGTGGCTTACAATAAGCCACACAAGTATCTCATTTGCTACTTATTTATCTTATGGGACCCACTCCCACGCAATTTTTTAACCATATATAATTGTATGGGGTCCATGGCTTATAAGCCATGGCCTTATTTCCCAAACATGCTCAATGTATACAAGATTTTATCTTATTTTATTTAATAATTTTCCTTCTCAGTCTACCTTATCAAACACACAATCAATTATCCAGCTGTTTAGCCTGTTTTCGGCTTCCATTGGAGCTGGTTTCGTTACCACTACAATGGTTTTGTTTTCTTACCAATTTTATTGTTACTGGAAAGCTCATGTGCAAATTATTTCATGTTTCATCAGGCTTTGGGAACTGCTGAAATGATTGCTAACATTGTTTTGAGCAATCCTCAAAAGGTTGATCCAGCACCATATTCCATGTAAGTTTGGTCTTTTATAGTAACATCACGGCAAGTTTTATGATGTTTTATGTCAATTATTCTTTTTCCTCAATGTTTAGTTGTTTTGCGATCATATGTTTTACTATGCCCAGTTTTTTGTTTTGTCTGCTGTGTTTTCATATTGTTTAAAAATCACTTGAGATATAATAAATTTGCTAGATGCGCACGCCATTCTTTTACTGTGATCTATTAATAAAGTTGACAATTACGAAAAGATTGATTTTAAGAAAATTAAAATGTTTTCAAAATTTCTGAGTACTAGTATGTGGTGCTTCCCGTCTGATTATTTATTTCTCCCTGTAAGTGCATCTTCGAAGAGTCGCGGCCTAGGATGGTTATTTGTTTGAGGGCCGGCCCTCTTTCATATCTCTGAGGATTAGGAATATACTCATTTTGCTGGTCTGAAATTCCTTGAATAATGAAAGTATCTCCACTTGAATGGAAATAAAAAATGGTGAAAAACACACAGAGAAAGAGACCTAAAATGCACAGTACATTTTGGTTAGATTTTTTGTGAAGAAAAGAAAACTCAACTGGCTTGTCACCAAATCAGTCTATGTATTCCTCCATGATTGGTATGTTGGGTTTGGGTAAACTTGACACCACTAGACAATGTTAAGCCCCTTTCTGATTTAGATAAAACCCAGTTTTGTAGTAGATTTTAATAAAAATCGATGGCATAAAAGTTTTGAGTTCATGAAATGTATTGTTAAAATTAATTCTTGACTTTCACTTGAATTTTAATGAAAAAATTTAGTTGAACCAAACATGGACTGATAAAGAAAATTAAAAATTTAGCTATTATATGGTCAATAATGTCCCACATGGCTTACCAGGCATTTCTCCAGAGTGTGACCATACTCTGGATGCCTCAAGTAGACACCGAGAGAAATGGAAGAGGCCAAACTAGGGCCCAAAATCAAATTGAGAAAGGAAAATTAGGGTTATTAGCATCTCTGGCTTAAAGGGAAAGGGACGTTGTGGATTTTCGCGCTGTCAATTCTTTAATTCATTAATTGTTTTGTGACAGGAATACGATTATTGCGGTTTGATCCACCAGTTGAACCTCGAGCAAGGACAGTAATGGTTGGTATGCCACGAAAGAAGATTTATGTTATTGATGGCAATTGTTGAGTTGTCTGTTGTGGTAATTAGGGAATGAAGGAGTTGCAATTTTCATCGAATAATTATGCTATATTAAGGTAGAATTACAATTTTCATCGAATAGTTAGTTCTTTCGTGATTGTAATGGTGTATTGCAATGAAAATTGTTGTCATTCTACATTTGAGCTTTAAAAATTTAAATGCAATGGAAAGTTAGCATCTGTGGAATTTCCGCTTGTGATGGATGCTTAAACTTGGTGATGTGATCGAAGCGTTTTAAGATCTAAAGTGACCAGTTTGAAATAAAATGAAGTTCAATGACCAACAAGAAATTTAGTTCATGTTACATTGAACAGCTGAGTTTTTCACTCTCATCTCTGTAGAAATGAACTATTACGTCCCATTTGATGATCTAGAGACATGAATTGTAAGGTCGCTTTCATGATCTAGCATTATGTTGAAAGTAATCTAAAAGGCAATTTGATGTTTGATTGTCTTCATATCAACGAACTCTTCATATTTATCGTTCCCTCAATCGAGAGCGAGACTCGGTGGGGAAGTGGCGGGGCGGGGCGGCCCGCCCTGAACCCGCCCCCTTGCCATCTCTAATCGAGAACTAAAGATTTGGTAGTAAATAACTAGATTGAAGATATCGAACATCAATTTCTAGCAGTAAAACTAGCGGGAGTCGATATTAGCAGTGTTCCATGTACAGATGGGAGTGGGTGGTTTGGTAATTTTTTTTATTTTTTAATCACAGCGGGGGCCACCAGAGGTTGTTAACCCCTTCTGTCAAGCTCTTCCTGTACAAATGGAAAAGCTCTAACGAGAAACCTGACATGGCCAAAAGAAATGCTGAGATGGCCACAAATCACCAGCAAGAGGGGAAATGACTTAATACTGAACGTTCAAATTCTTGAATCTCAAATTCTTGAATCTTCGTGTGTTCTTATCATACATATTTCACCAATTTCCACGGTGGAATCATTAATATTGAGATCATGCGATAAGCACTCCAGGAAATATTCATTTGTCGAGTGGAAACCATTCTACATGATTAGTTAACCTTTTTATACACACATTTATTGAAAGTAATTGGTGACCACAAAAGTTAACAAAGAGTATATCAGTCTAAACAAGGAAAAAACAATAGAACAAACTAGCCAACAAAAAAAAACAAGGTATCCCACTAAATTGAATAGGGTCCATGAATTTTAAGAAATAGTGAGAATTCTTGATCTCTTTCAATTCGGATTTCGAAAATCTAGAATTTGAATTGATGTCCTTTCATCAAGTTGTTCGTCGAACGCACACAAATTCTGCTAACATAAAAATCTAGCATCCCACACAACTACATCAGCTTAATAGCTCAATTGACTGAATATAAGGTCTCTAGATATGAGTGAATCTCAAAAATCTTCACCTGATGGAAAACCAATTTGCCATGGGATTATAGTAAAAGTCTCAGAATGGTAAACAAAACATGAATGCTATGCACGTCCGAGGAAAACGTGCACTGGATAACAAGTCATCTATTAGTTGCACAACAAGATATGATATAGTAACTCTTGAAGGAAAGGACAGGTCTTCCTGAAAACTTTTCATCGCAGTGAGTGAATCACATAGAAGAGCAGACGTAGGGACTTTTATGGGTCTCACAAACTACACTGGAGGCAAGATAAAAAAGTCAGGGTAGAAGAAAGTATTGACAAAATGTTCCCATACAGTTCTGAATTAGCAATCCTTGAGGAAGAACCAAAAGCACAAGCCAATTACCAATTCAAGAAGAGCCATTTGGTGTATTGGTGTTAGGTTTTGGGTGGGCGGATTGGACTGGAATCTCAAGTCATAAGAGTTGCTATTAGGGGTGTTAAATATGACGAGCCAGAGAGCCACCACCAAAGCTCGGCTTGCCCTAGCCAATTTTTATTTTTATTTTTTTACTAAAATTACTTTTTCCACTCAGTTTTGATGGGCCGGCTCGCGAGACAACTCGTTCAAGCTGCTCAAAATTTGCTGCTTGGCTCGCTAGTGGGGTGAGTAACCAGTCCCACTTGACACCCCTAGTTGCTATAGTACTGTGTCCTAGTGCAAACAATTAACCAGATGTAGGTAGCCTAAATTCCATCAGCTTCAATGGAGAGAGAAGAAAAATACAGATAGGTCGTGGACATAAATTAAATCAATTGGTAAGGGACTGGAGTAGAATCTCAAGTCACACGAGTTTCTGAGGTACTGTGTCCAAGTGCAAAAAATTGACCAGATGTCTAGAGCTTAAAATACATCAGCTTCAAAAGAGACGGTTTGTAACAAATCAATCCTCATCAACGTCAATTTATCATCTGGAAAAAATTGGTTTTTGATAGAATGAATCATCACAGTAACTCTGATAAAGGATTTACAAATATTTCAATACTAGAGTCCACATAGTTTAAGGAATACACAAGTGTATCTGTACATGTATAATCCTGAAACCTCAAAGCTTAGAAATTCTAGCAAAGGGTGTCACGCTCAAATAGAAGGATAACTACTTCATAGTAGATTTTGCTAGCACTTTCAATTATCTCATTTTAATAGAGGATAATCACCCTGTTGGGAGGAGATTTTGCAAGTCAGTTTCCACTTTCCTTATCAAATTAATAAAACCCTTCAGTGTGAACAGTTTCACATGTAGTATCATTTTGCTCCTATTAACAATATAACACTCAGATCTCCAGCTATCCTAAAGACAGTAGTTGCAGGCACTATTAGACATAATGAACAGACCACAAAATATCAGCACTCAGATATAGCCCTCCCATACTCCGCGGTCACTTCATAAAAACAAATATACCATTGGGTGCCTCAGCTTATGCCATTTAATTATTAATAGAACACCTAGACAAACCACAGACTCCAGTCAGAATGAGAAGAAGAAGGCAGTCGACCACAAGCTGACCACAAGGGTATCCGTAGTTTATGGGGATAATAGTTGAGTTAGAAGAACTGAGCTTTAGGCAGATATTGAAGCTGGCTTGGTTGACTTCGAGGGTACTCCATGGCTGTTATTGGGTGACTTCAATGCAATTGATGTTTACATAACAATTTGCATCAAAGGACTAATTTGAACAAAACTGCACAATCCTATTAATTATTCCATTTCTGCCCTATACGACTTCTTGGAGTAGAGCTTCACGCCAACATGAGTAATTTAAGATACATCAGGGGTAATGTCGTAATGATAAGAATATTCGTTTCCTGCAACCTTACCAAAGAAAGGCCAATAAATTGCAAATGAGAAAAACTATCTGCAGCATTGTTGCTAATGTGGCGCCACAACATAGAACGCCAACATACATAAATCATAAATAATCCAATTTCTCGAATTGCATCCAAGAACACTACCATTTTGCAGCAACAATCAAATTAACCATCAAAATGTTCAACAAAGTCATGTTTGGAAATTATTTTGTCCACATTATTCAAATAAAACCTTAAAACTGACCGCGCATTGACTGTTCTCTGGATTAAGATATTACGGAATGTCCCACGCCTTGGGCTCAGGCACGGCAACTACCATACCTTGCAGCTCCTGAGTGAGAACCACCTGGCAACCGAGCCTGGCGTGCTTATTCATGACCCTAGAACGAGAATTCCTCCTCAATACATACTGCTCGTCATAAGTAGGAGGGGGTAGCTTCTCGAGCCATTCCTGGGCGATGTGCACCTCGCATTCGGCCGAGCACGCATCGATCTCTTCAAGACGGTGGGAGTCCGGGTCAATTAAACCCTGGTTGGTCAAGGCCTTGAGAAGGGTTTGACCCGAGAGCGCAGCTATCTGGCGCTTGATGCCGTCCGGATCCACTGCGAAAAGCTTGACAAGTCGATCCGAGACCTTGGCAGAAGTGGAGGCGGATGATCGGGTAATTATGGCGCGAGATGATAGGGCGAAAGAGGGATTTTTCGTAATTTGAGAGGCGAGTTTTTGCAGTGAGGAAATCGCCATCGTTCTGCAGGGGAGAGGCCGACAGGGGGGTAGGGTGGGAGTACGGGGAAATATTAGGCTAGATACGTAAAACGGCCGGGCCGGGCCGGCCCGCAGATGAAGAAGCCCTGGTAGCCCGATTAAAAATAGAATCGGCCATGCGGACTTTCCGGGCCAGGACGGGGAAGGGCTGACCCCGCCCGAACCGCAAGCCCGCATGGGCCAGGTCGGTCCGCTAGGCAAACTCATTTTTTTTTTCAAAAATAAACGATAAAAATAATTATAGTGAAAATCGATAAAAGTTACATAAAAATAAATTTTACATTGATTTATTTTTCGATAAATTTTACATTAATAACTAAATAACATAAAAATTTACAATTTTTCGAACAATATTTTGCCTAATTTGACAAATTAAACAGTTTTTAACTATTTATAAACTTATGGTTAAAGTACATCCCAATTAGGTTGACTTATTTAACTATAATTTCATCATTACAAATCAGATTCTATTCATCTACGGTAAGATTTTTAAAGTCTTGAGCAATGTCGTCAGCAACTTTATCTTGCATTCTTCTATCTGCAAATGACCAGTTTTTCATGCAGATGAGAGTTTCTAAAATATTTTCTTTAAGTCTTGATCTTCTTTCATCTAGCACTTTGTTACCTGCACTAAAAGCAAACTCCGATGCCACTGTTGAAATTGGAACTGTTAATAGATCTCGGGCTATTTTGATAATATTGGATATGACCGTTCATTTACCTTCCACCATTGTAAAATATCTAAGTTGTCAA